AAAATAAAAGCTTAGGCAATTCTCTACAGTGGGAAACGTGACCGTGGCAAAACAACTTTGTATCAGAGAATGTGGAAAATGACTTCCCTTTAATATTTGCTTCTGGAATATTTCCAAATTTTAAGGCAGAGGAGATTACTAGTCCAAATGTTAAATCATTTCAGTCAATCAACTTTAGATGAGACAATCGAATTTTAAATAAACCCCCCAGAGATGCAGAGGGAAACAACAGGCGTATTTTGGAGAATTTGAATGTACACTGTATATCAAATTGGTTTTAAATTAACTTGGTGTTTTGCATTTGCTCCAAGTTAAAAATAATAAGTGACAACAATAGCTAAAATTTCCTGAATATTTACATCCGGTGTCCCAGGCACTGTACTAGAGCGCCAGGCACTTTATATGCTGTATATTACTTAAACCTCACAGCCCTAGGAGATTATGTGCTATTATGAGATTATTCTCATTTGACAGATAATAAAACAGGCCCAAAGCTATTACTAACCTGAACTAGCCCATGCCATATAGTCAGATTTGGAGCATGGATTAGAACTCAGGGTTGACCCTAAAGCCCATGCTAGCAACCACTAGTAAGTTTGGGCTCCTTAACTTTCTAAAGAGTCGGCAGATTTTAATCAAACCTGATGTACTACTACTGGGTAACAGGAGACACAAACGTGTATTTGTGATATAACCTATCACCTTGAAAAAGAATGGCAGCTAATAAGTTTTCTAAAAGGCATTATACACATACACTCTCACATATAACTTTAAAAACTGGATTTCAATGAAATTTGGCCTGCCCAGAGATCTGGGATAGGCTTTTGCTTCTTTGGGGGAAGCCCTCTCATAAATCTTTCAAAAGAATGTAAATTCACAGTTTAGATATCCCATCCCCGATCATAAGCTTCTTGAAGCTAACAAACTTCATTTTCACATCTTCCACTGTCTCTGAGAGCACAGAACCTCCTTAGTAATCACAGTGCTGGGGAATAAATAAAATCTACCATTCAGAGAACTCCTAGCTTACGTGAAGCTTTTTGTTTTATAAGTATGGGTATTACAGAAAATATGTGACTCCCAACAATTTTCTCTGCTTCTGAAAATTACAAGTCTAACTTTCATTGCTGTTCTTGACAGAGGATTCTGATTATCACCCAAGAAGGACTCTTTTTGTCCCACTAAGTTTTCTGAAGAAGCACCTGCCTAGGGAACAAGCTTTCTATAAAAAGGGTTCCAACAGCCTCAGTTTACAGTTCTAAATCCAAAACGGTTAAGCAACTGGTCCAAGGCTCTAGAGCTTGCTGATGACAAAGCCCAGATGACAGAAGTGAGAAGTGAACCTAGGTCTGACTGCTGGACAGTCTAGTTCCACCTGCAGCCCCAAAGGATATGACAGCTCTTATTTCAATATTCCTGTCACCTTCCAGGTAGTAAAGTCTGCTGACTCAAAACTCATTTCTGAAATCAAAGTTCAAGTTAATCTGCATTAGAGTAAGAAGGCAAAGCTTCTAAATGTTCATGTAAAGAGCTCATGACTAAGACAGTAAGCATCACAGCTCACTGAAATAGGCAAACGACTCATATCTAAAGTTATGCGGTTACAATGACTTCCTTGCACTACATGAATCAGAAAAGCTACTACTTGACCAGAGACTTCGAGAGAGCTGCCATCTCAATGTCAGACATTTTATACTTCTACACGTGCAACAAAGCATCTCAACTATCTAGATGACTCAAATGTGTCAAACAACTCACTGGCAAAGCAGACTAACAAAAGTCAGGCTTCTATTCAACCACCTCTTAAGAACCACCAGGATAGGTGTGTCTAGTCACTTAACAACAAATTACTTCAAGTTGTTTCACTGAGCAGTGAATATCTTCCCAAGGTCATTTCCATAATATTAAGCATTGAGCAAATAGTTAAGATTCTAACCTCATGAATTTTGGTAGATTTATTCTTAAGCTAATTTCCTTTCCAAGTGACCTTTCTCCTAGGATCTGAAGTAGTATGAAGGGGACAGTTTCCTACTCTGCCAGGACACTTAAAGGGAGCCCTTTTCAAACTCAATAATGGAATAATATAGTTCTTACTAACAGACTCAGTGCTCTCTCTTCCTTTAAACATAATTTAGAGTGGAATGTGGAGTGACTGCTAATGGGTATGGGGCATCTTCTTGGGCTGATGAAAATGTTCTGGAATTAGACAGTGCTGATCAACGCACAAATTTGTGAATAAATTAAAAACCCACTGATGCACATCTAACGGTAAATTTTATGGTATATCAATTACATCTCGATAAAGCTGTTATTTTTAAAAACCAACATAATCTAGAAAACAAAACAAAAAAACTCTGGTTTGACAGGTAGCCTGACAGTGAGCTACGATCCAAGGATTTTTTGTGTCAGGAACCCTTCCTAGAATCTGACAGACCTTAATTAACTGGGTAAAGCAATAAAAGTTTGGTATCTCAAGATTTTCATCCCTCATTTCAATAAAATATCACGCTTTTATTTATTTGTACTCTAGGTCAGATAATACTGAGCTCACCTCAAAGCCTTTCACATCTAAAACAAAAGCCAAAATTCGTCAAGCAGTGAGTGGAAAAGAGATGTAACTTGGATAAATCAATATTATTTTGAGTTTTAGGCCCATATGCTTCATCAGTAGTATTAGTACAATGAAGATTTAAAATTAAACATTTCCAAACATTTCTAAAATGTTATTAGAAATCAAACATTTCCAATAAAACTTTTTTTTTTTTTAAAGATTGGCACCTGAGCTAACAACTTGCCAATCTCTTTTTCCTTTTTTCTCCCCAAATCCCCCTCAGTAGATAGCTGTATACTTTTAGTTGTGGGTCCTTCTAGTTGTGGCATGTGGGACACCACCTCAACATGGCCTGATGCGTGGTGCCATGTCGGTGCCCAGGATTCGAACCCGCGAAACCCTGGGCTGCTGAAGGGGAGCACATGAACTTTACGCTCGGCCACGGGGCTGGCCCCAAACTTTTTTTTTTTTTTGAGGAAGACTGTCGCTGAGCTAACATCTGTGCCAATCTTCCTCTATTATGTGTGTGGGACGCCGCCACAGCATGGTTTGAGGAGCGGTGTGAAGGGCTGCGGAAGTGGAATGAACGACCTTAACCACTACGCCATCGGCCGGCCGCACTAACTTTTATGCAACTTGTTTTCTTTGTTCTAGCCTTTCCACTTAAAATGAAGGAGTCGTCAGAAACTTTTCAATTAATATTCACAAAAGGATAAATGCAATCATTTTAGACCCCTAATGAATTATCATTCTGTGTCTGTGTGCAATACATATATGTATACATATGATATACATACATCGCACACAGATACACACATACATTAAAAAGACATTTTAGGCAAGGTTTTATTTTAGGATAGTGATAAGCATAGAAGTGATTTAAAAAAAAAAACTGATACTGAAGTGATTCAAAAGCTCCTACTGTTGTGACAGATAATACATATGAAGTGATCATTTAGCCATCTGGAAGTGACAGTTTGCATGAGGCTTTCGAAACTTTACAGAGAACATTAAACTTTTTTTTACGGCTTGATTTTAAATACTATCAATTGTAAAGAGCTTTTCATCAATCTGACTTTCACTGAACACCTGCCATATCCCAGGCTAGGTGCCAGAGACGCAGATGCAACACAGGTCTGGCCTCAAGGAAGTCCCATTTTGACCGCTTGCTTTTGTCAGGCCCAGCACTAAACACGTCCCTTCCAGCATCTGACCTCCTGGGCTTAACCCACCGCAGGCGAAGAGGAGGTAAACACTACAAAGGACTATAAGGCCGTAAGACCGAAAAACTAAAGGTGGAAACAAATAAAAGCTGTTGTACATTTAGACCAATTCTAAGTCTACTTCCTAACCTAACATTACACTCTAAGTTCCAGATGTACCGCTAAAAAACATTAAAATGACCCAGAGAATACCTACACCTCCTTTAACACACATCACTTATATAATCTTCTCATTTAAAGACATATCTACCATATTTCACTCAAAGCATCCTCTTCCATTAAAGGATATTCCTCTTTACGTTCCAACTCTCCATCTGAGTACAACACGCACGGAACAGCTGCTGAACGAATGAATGAATGAACAAATGAATGAAATAAACAGATGCCCTAACTGCCGAGGAGGTACTTGCGGACGCTTATCTCAAAACACAATGGACTGACACACCAGAACACTACTGTAACGATTACTGAATTTCGGAGGTAAAAATAGTAACCACCCAACACTGTCCGATACCACGCAGGCAACATGTTATCAAGTCCACAGCAAACGTCTGATGGGGAACTTCCAGAAATCAAAACAAAAAGTGCTCATCGCAGTACTTTAAAATGGACTCGGTTCTACCACCCAAGGACTAGGAACACAAGTGCAAGACAAAGAGATGGGAGGGTGCGGGGAGAGAGTCCAAAGGTCACCGCCTAAGGACCCTCCAGAGACGCGCCCGCGGACCCCCACGCTCGCGCCGAGCCCGACGGCCCCCGTCACCCGAGCCCCGGGCCCGGCGGTCGGTCGCAGCCCGGAGCCGCAGGCCGCCCCGGCCCCGGTGCTGGCGCCGCCGCCGCGCTCGCCCAGAACGTCAGCACAAAGAAGCCGGCGAGAGAGAAAAGGCGGCCCCCGCAGGCGCGGGACGGGCCCGGGCGCTCGCCGCGGGTACACCGCCGGGGAGGCAGCAGGGCGCGGCGGGCGGCCCGGGCCCCGCGCGACCTCCGCCGAAGCGCCTCCCAACTCGCCCCCCGCCGCGCTCCCCGCCGACCCGGACGCGGGACCCGCGCGAGCAGGGGGCCCGGCCGCCCGCAGCCCCGCGCCCCCGCCGCCCGGGCCGCTATTGTTCCCGCGCCCCCGCCCCCACGGGAGGGGGCACGGCTGAGGCGGCGGCGGCGGCGGCGGCACAATAACATAAACACGGCGGCGCGCCGGCCGCCCGCCCCGCGGCGACCGCCGCACTCACCCAGCCGCGCGGCGAACGGCGACGGGAGAGCCCGCCGGCGGGGACCGGCGCCGTCCGGGCGGTCGCCGCGGCCGTTACCCAGCGTCGCCGGCGGCTCCGCGATCCGGGCCGCGTCGTCCGGCCTCGGCCGCTCCGCTGAGTAACAGGGACGCGGGCCGTCACGGCGCACGCCCGCTCACGTCATCGCGCAGGGCCCCGCCCCCACGCCTCGCCGGCGGCCCGAGGGGCGGGGCAGCCCCGGGGCCCGGATTGCGGGGGCGGGGCCCGCCGTCCGGGAGCGGGGCTACTTATGGACCCGGAGGACTGGCGGAGGTCGCCTGGAGGCGGACCTGCGGCGCGAGCGCAGAGGGCGGCGTGCGAGGGGCGTGGCCGGGAGCCGGAGGGGGCGGGGCCCTGGCCCTGGCACGTGGCGGCGCGTGGCCTGAGCGCCCGGCGTCTGGCCCGGAGCGGTCCGCTAGTACTAGCCAAAAGTCGGGGGCTCCTCGACCCGGAGTTGGAAGGAGATCTGCGCTTAGACCCAACTCGCCCGGGGACCAGGCGTCCCGGCCCGGGGACACGCCTCACAGACGAAGAACTCAATACCTTGACCGACAATACGTTCCATTCCGAGGACACCTGCCGTGGGCCCAGCAACCCACAACAAACAAATGTTCTCTTAGGCCACCTGGAAAAAGCTGCCTCTTGTTTTCCCAAAATCCACCCCCTACCAGATTCCAGGTATTATGCTGTTTATTTCTGGACCCCACAAAGCGTGAATGTTATGGAATTGAGAAGCCCTTAAATATCCAACAATGGGTGGAAGGGTGTCTAAGTTAAATACGTCTTTGCGATGGAATACTTTTTAGCAATTTAAATGCCATATGTTGAAGGAATTCTTAACGACACGGGAAAATATTCATAATACGTTATTAAGAAAAAGAAGTCTATATATAGAGAATGATCCTACTTGTATACTATATATACATAGAAAAAACCTGGAAAGAAATATGCCAAATTATTTTAACGGTAGTTCATCATTAGACTGTGGAATGAAGGGTGAACTGGTTCTCTTTTATACTTTGGGTATTTTTCTGTTGTTTCCAAATGGAACAGTTATGTTCATATCAGAAAAAAATACATTACTTTAATAATGAATGCATAAATATTTGTTGAATAAATGAGTGAATTCAGGTAGGCTATCTTCCCATGTCATGTTGGGAACAGCGTGGGTTGGCCTGTTTCCAGTGGTTCTGAAATGGAACATAAGTGTGAGTATTCATTCATTCTTTCATTCTCTCCTGGTTCCCTCCCTCCCTCACAGGCTTCTTTATTTCCTTCCTTCATTTCTCTAATAAATATTTATTGCATGCCCATTCTGTGCCAGGCACTGTGCTAGCACTGGCAATAGTACAATGGAGCTTACAGACTTAATCACTGTAATATGGAAATAGTAACAGTAAACAAATGCAAAATGATCACCGCATTATAATACAGGTTGATGTGGCCACACAGTATTATGAAACCAATTGATAGAATTAGTAAAGCCAGGAAAGGCTTCCTTGAGGAACTGCCTCTTGAACTGAGAATAGATTTAAAAGTATTTTGGACAGAAGCAACTCAGAATGTAAGGGTCCTGTAGTGAGAGGGAGCAGGCGGAGTTGGACAAACTGAGGAAAAGCCAGTGCCACTGGAAGAACAAGGAAGAAGGAGCTATGAGATGAGGTTGGGAAGACTGGAAAGGGACCAAACCTAGTGCAGTCATACTACCCATGTTGAAAATCTTGTCTTTATCCTAAGGGCAATGGGAAGCCCCTGACGTGTTTCAGCAAAGGTGGGGGGCATGGTCAGAATGGCATCTTGAAGATTCCTTATTGGAAGGAGGCCAAGTAGACTATTCCTACATCTAGAATGGTCTAGGAATAGTCTAGATAGCAGACGGCGGAGGCTTGATCTATGGTGATGGTCATGAAAACAGTAAGGGGAAAGATCTGAGGACCCTTTAGGAGATCCAAAGCACAGAAGTTGATGATGGATTATGTGGGCAGTGGAGGAAAGGGAGATATCAAGGAAAACTCATAGGTTTCTGGCTTGTGGCCAAGGATAGATGTTGGTGTTGGTTCACCGAAATGAGAATCTTGGAAGACGACAAAGCTTGAGTGGAAAGATTATGAGAGCTGGTAGTTTGAAGGCTTTTGATCTGCCCAAAAGAGATGCCAAGTTGGCATTTGGATATACAGAGCTGGGCTCAGGGAGTTAAGAGGTGAATCATTGACAGATAATGGTGACTTGAAGTCTTGGGTACAGATGAGCCTAGGCCTGAGAGAGAGAGGGTAGTGAGTGAGAAGAGAAGAGGGCCGGGAACCAGCCTTGAGGAACTTCAGCACTGAATGGCCATGAAGAGGATGAGCCTGAAAATGACACGCCAGGGAGGTAGAAGGAAAGAGGGATTCGAGAAGAAAGGAGTGATCAATAATATCAAATATAAGAAGAGGCTTGAAATCCTGGAATAAAGCCAAAAGTGGATTACAGTGGGCTGAGGAATGAATAGGAGATGAGAAAATGGAGGTGGTAGCTAACGATGGCTCAGGCAGTGAAGAAGGACACAAGAATGATTTATATATGGTAGGAATACCGTTGAGAGGAAGAGGTGGAATCAAGGGAATAAACATGAGTGTAAGTTTTCTAAGAGAGCGGGGTGAGGGGAGGGTTCATTGGACACACAGGTGGAAGCACTGGCAGGTACCCCCTACTCCTCACCAGACAAGTTAAAGACCTAGAGGTAACAAAAGACAATATAATCAGAGTAGTTGTCAAGTGAAGGATGTTGCCGGAACAGAGCTCCAGAGTTTTGTGCCCTATTCTCTTTGATACTTTAACAGTCTCTCTTTCATTCCACAGGGAAAACTTGTGATTTATTAGCACAGCCTGCCACTGTCAGCTTCCAATTATCTCTACCTAGAAAGGACGCCCTGTGTGTTGTATATGTGAGCATGTGTGACTTCATTACTTGTATTGAATGTAGTCATCTCTGATATTCTGCAAATTCAAAATGCTTTTTGTAAGCCAGATGTGGCTCTGGGCCTCCTTCTTCTCAATGCATTTTTCCTTGTTAATCTATTATGGTTCCTTGTGAACCTATTGGGGGCTGACTCAGAAAAAGACAAAGAGCGAAGGAACTCAGGTTTATTGCCTCTTGTCCCAGGGGAGTTGTCTTGGAGACAGCGGGTCCTTGGGTCTCTCTGGGACTGGGATGGGAGAAGGAAGGAAGGGGAGGCTGCAGGCCCCTTAAATCCAGCCTCCGTGGGAGCCCTGAGAAATGGTTAGGAGGAAGTTGCAGCCTGTCCAGACAACCTCTTTGTCATTCTCCCTGGCCCACGCACACATGCTGGATTGTGATGGAGTTGGGCCTTTGGCTAAGGTGTCGGGTGAACCTCACCAAGCTATTCAAGGACACAGAAACTGAAAGTTGAGCCTTGATGTCACTTCCTAGTCCCCTGTCCTCACTGCAGGTGTGAGGAGTTGGGGGGAGGGGGCTTATTGACTAAGGCCTGCAAAAGGGCATCTCTAGGGACACCCCCTCACTCGTGACCCCATCTCCACAGCCCTTCTCCTTTAGCTTCGCTTTCCAGCCCCCCAGTTTGGTTTCCCAACCATGCCCTTAGTCAAGTCAACCCCTCCCCTCCACAGGGGGAAGAGGTTCAGCACCTCCGTCAGTCACCCCCTGACTCTAGGATGCTCTTTGAAGCTCTGTCAAAGGAGAGCCTGCTGGCTGCAGAGGGGGCGGCTCAGGCTCTGGTAGGACGAGTAAAGGAGAGATGAGTGTTCATATTGCAAATTGATGTCTCCAACTGCAAGAACTGTGGCTTATTTTCTCGGGGGTAGGACGGGACCAAAAATGAGCAGAGTTGCTCAGTCACGACTTGAACACAACAAAGTGGAGAGACAAGTGGGTGGTACTCTAATTGGAACTTATAAGTAGTACCCGCCTCTTCTCTTGGGTTTCCTCCTTCCCTCTGCTCCCTTGTGTACACATGGCTTCTCGGTACATGCAAGAGAGACAACCCAGCTATTCAAGCCTTTAGATTGAGTACACACGCATGTTCTCATGAAAAAAATGGTCAGCATTTATTCTTCTAAAATGATGGTTCTCAAATTGTGGTCCCCAGAACAGCAACATCAGCATCACCTGGGAACTGATGGGAAATGCAAATTCTCAAAATCACTTCAGACATGCTGAATTAAAAGCCCTGAGGGAAGGCCCCGACAATCTGTGTTTTAATGCGCCCTCCAAGTATTTCTGATGCTCACTCAAGTTTGAGAACCGCTGCCCGAAGACACTAGTTCGCAAGGCCACCTGCTTATCCGAATCACCTGGGGAGCTTTCAAAACTATCCGTGCCTGGGCTCCACTTCTGGTAATCCTTATTCAGAGGGCTGGGGTGGAGCCAGGCTTCTGTAGTGTTTTAAAAACTCCTCAGGTGATTTTGGTGTGCAGCCCAGATGAAGAGCAGTGTCCTAAGAAATTCAGCATATTGTCTGTTCTTTAAAGTCTCAGAGCAAACTGTACAGGACAACCTGCCCCCCACTTTTGTGTTTCAAGTTCTCTCTTAATCTTTCCTTTCGTTACTGGCTTTTTATTCTAATATTCTGCCCCCACCCTCCCACAGCTTAGAGATACCTCGGCTAAATTGTCCTCTTTCCATCCACACCCAGATATTGAAGATATTCAATATTTATCCTCTGGAGGAAAAGATGCAGGGAATTGAATGAGAGGTAAAGAATAAGTTGTTGAAGTCCTGAAAGCAATAAATAAAATCCTTATTGTTGTTTTAAATAAATGTGTATTTAGGAAGAAGACTTTCCACCAGACATCTCAGCATGGACGCTCTGCCCTGTTTACAATTCCTTTGCCTAGAATTCTTTCCAGCCCAGTGGAATTTTCCATTTACAACTCCTGTACTACAGAACACTTTTCCAGGCCCTGTGGTGGAAGAAGACAGCTCCTCATTACTGGTTCCTCGCCCTTAGTAGCTTTAGGGAGGATCCTTCTCCATCTCATCTCCACCTCCATGTCTACCTCCACCTCCATCTCCATCTCTACCTCCACCACCATCTCTACCTCCATCTCCATCTCCACCTCCAGCTTCATCTCCATCTCT